GGCCGCGGCAGAGCAGGGACGCCGCCCTGAGTCCAGACGTACGGGAAAGCGGTGCGCACACACCACACTCGCAATGCGTTTCTGCAGATCCTACGTTACTTGGTAGAGATCTGCAACCAAAACAACTTAAAAAAAAAAAGATTCCGACGTATTCCAGACACTGAGCGATTTACGTCTTAAGGCAACAGAAGTCACCCCTTGTCCCTGCCTCCCCCTCCACATGACTATCTGCCCGGAATTTAGAGTATATATTGTACGTCACGACACTACACTTCAAATTCCGCACGCCCTTCTGTGGACACGATCCCACGAACCGCTAGTGAGTGCACATCAGTCATGCTCTTCCACACCACGGGGGTCAGGCTGGGGGTGAGGAGTACTGAGGAAGCGGGAGACAAAGAGGCCGCACAGCCAAATGAGGCACCTCCAGCGAGCAGACAAGCTGCTGGCGAGTCCAGACCACTCAGAACCGGTCACACTGAGGGCCTGGCAGGCGCCCCAAGGGCAAGACGCAGGAGCCTCAGCCCCAGAAGACCCAGTGAGTGTCATCAGCAACACTGGGCGGTGCCACAGACCCCCAGGGCCTGCGGTGAGGGCGGTCGTCACCGAAAAGGGCACAGAGAACCACCTGCGGTTGCTTCTCCTCTTGGGTCCAGAAACCGCCAGAGGCCATCAGCTCGGGGATGGTCCTTCCCTGCCAGGATGGCAGCCACACCTGGCCCCGCACATGGGGGTCTCAGTCCGCTCCGGGACCAGCAGGCAGCAGAAATGCTGTGACGGCCTCCCTTCAACAGCGTACAGGCTGCTCGGAGAACCGAGACGGACTTCCCTTCACCACGTGAACACACGCCACGGCTGGCCCGCGGTTCCCGGACTCTGGGGCCTCAGAGGCCGGCAAACTTAAAAAGAAATCCTGGGGCGTGACAAATATATATCTCGCCAATATATTATCTCACAACCAAGAGCATTTTAAAAAATAAAAATATTGTACTCTATTACCTCATTTATTACATAAAAGTACACAAATTAAGAAGGACGTGATCTCAGAATAAAATACGATCCTTTAGGTCATAATAACTTGACCTCGTAAGTTATTTAACACACGTCCTTTTACCTGTGACCTGCCCAGAGCTCTCTGTGCCAAGACCCACACTGCAGGCCCCCATGACCTCCGCTGCCCCATAGGGCACAAAGGCCAAGCCCGACCCCCAAGGTCACAGGCTGTTCCTGCCCCGTCATCACCTCGAACTCACACCCACTGAGAAGAGGGATGACAGTCACGACAGCAGGTACAGTCACAGGGACCACTCATGCACAAAGCACCGTCACACACTCTCCCGTGCGCGGGAAGTCCCGCGAGAAGAGCACGAGGCCCCGCCTGGGCCCCACGGCAGGGAGCCGAACAGCACAAAGTGCGGCTCCCTAAGACGCATCTTCCTCTGCTCCGGCTCGCGGCACGCTCCTCTCCTCCTACTTCTGCACGGACCCATCCACAGAATCGTTCATGAAAGAAGGAAACAAGAAAACGGGGCGGCACTTAAGCTTGAAAACAGAAACACAGCCAACATGAGGACACTGCTAATCTTCCTCTTTTCAAAATCACCTGACGAGTGCCTGTTGGCAGAAACTTAGCAAACGTCAGAACAGAACCAAGCATCAAAACGCAAGCATCGGGGCGCCTGGGGGGCTCAGCTGGTTAAGCATCTAGCTTCAGCTCAGGTCATGATCTCACGGTTCATGGGTTCGAGCCCTGCATCGGACTCTGTGCTGACAGCTCAGAGCCTGGAGCTGCTTCGGATTCTGTGTCTCCCTCTCTCTCTGACCCTCCCCTGCTCACACTGTCTCTCTCTCTCTCAGAAATAAATAAAACATTAAAAAATCTAAAAAACAAAAGAAACAAAAAAAACGCAAGCATCGCTGCCTTTATCCCTTTTCTGGAGCAAGGCAGAGCATAAATAAATAAACACATAAATAACATAAATAATGTGAAAAGGCACAGCTTACGCGTGACGTTGATGGCTCTGGGAAACATACTCAACACCCCCACCCAGGATGCCAGAGCTGAATTCTCAGAGATCTCGCCGCTGCCCCAGACCCTAACCCCTGCCCATCTGTGCACAGCAGCCAAGGCCCCACGAGTGGGGACAGTGAGGACACTCCTGGGACCAGGCTTGGGGGGCCGCTAGCTACTTCCCACTGGTTCACTGTGCCCCTTCCTGGGGAGGATCTGGGCCCGGCCAGGCAGCAGCCGCACCAGCCATGCTTCCCTGCTACGCGGACTCGGGTGCCCCAGGCCTCAGAAACACGATTTATCCGATGTTCCTACAGTTACTGTCTCTCCTCCAATATCCTGTCCTTGCCAGCAGGAGGAAAGGGGGCTTCAGTACAGCAAGAATCCCTCAAAACGAGGAGGAACGACCTTCAGCAACTGTCCCTGTTTTCGGACTTGTGTTTGGCAGCTGCAGCTCCAAGTTGCTGGGGCCCCGAAAGAATCAGCCGAGTCTGGCTGCGTCGGACCAGTCCTCTGCGAAGGAGCCGCTGAGCACCCCGGTCCCCTGCAGACTGCCCTGGGGCACGGTGCGTGCTAGGAGCTGAGCCAGAGACCCCCCACTCCCTGCCTCGGGCCACCTCCCTGGCCAGGTCTGGGTGAGGCCCAACTATGAAGATCAACTCACTCCATTCCTTTTAGAGACGCCCTGGGAAAAGGGTTTGATCCCCCAGAGACCAGCCCCGCACCTGCTCCACCGGGTAGCAGACGCGGACACCAGATTGCCGGGCCCCTGCCTACAGATATGAGACCTCTGCACTGACCACACACCTAAGTGCTGTTTTCTAGGAAGTCCGAGAACAGGGGGACCTGGGTGGCTCAGTCAGTTGAGTGTCCAACTTCAGCTCAGGTCATGACCTTGTGATTCATGAGTCTGAGCCTCGCGTCGGGCTCTGTGCTGACGGCTCAGAGCCCGGAGCTTGCTTCAGAGCCCGTCTCCCTCTCACTCTGCCCCTCCCCTGCTCATACTCTGTATCTCTCTCTCCCAAAAATAAAAATAAACATAAAAAAAAAAAAAAAAAAAGGCGGCCCAAGAACAACAGAGCTACTCTCCTACCCTGGGCAGGGCTGGAGAGGCCCCGCCCCACACAGGCCCCCCTCAGAAAGCACCGAGGGGGGCAGAACCCACACATCCAAGAGAACTGAGGCCAGAAGGGTGGGGGAAGGGGACCCAGAGCCGGAAGAGCTGAAAAGCAAGGTGAACTGCCATCCACTCTGAGGCTACCCGCAGGCCTACCAAGGTGGCCAGCCACTGCTTTCATGCCATCAGGGCCACGCAGCCCCTGCCAGCAGCCCAGGGCACCCCCGGCTTGCTCAGGATCCCCCCAGCCCCAGGCAGAACCCTACCTCCCCGAGGCTCCTAGCACAGCTGGCCTGTGGGCCTGCTCCCACCCCCAGTGCACGAGAAGCACCCCACACCCTTCTGGCACCTGGCCGCGGCTCTAGCAGAGCTGGGTCCCCAGCGCCCCCGCAGCTCCCAACTTTGCGAGGACCGACCCCTGGCTCGGCATGCGCCCAGCCCACCAGGGTCCCGGGCCTTTAGCAGCAGCACATGCGCCCGATATCGGGCTCAGACAGCCATCCCACCCTCAGGCCACGGCCACAGCTTGTGACTGGGTCACTTCGGCCACGTAAAGCCTCCGGTGACTGCGTCTCCCCTCAGACCTGATGGCAACTGCAGGTCACAGCATGGCCTTCCGGCCGAGCCGCCCATGACACGCAAGGTGGGGCTGAGAATTCTCTCCTCGGGCTGCGTACGACCATGACCGGCACCGCCTGTCTGCTGGGCTACGACACACAACGCTGCTAGTCGTTGAGAAACCTGTCTCATTCGTTAGTGCAATTGTGATACATAAGGTAGCTCTTATTACAGGAAATCTAACCACAGATTTGCAATCTGCCCATTTCTAACCACCTCTAAGGGTCAGAATCACCATGATTCCCCACAAGGGCCCTCAGAGGCTTCAAAGTAGCAGACGCGGCTTAGCATCGCCTGGAGTGCCCTGCAGTCGGCCCCGGCGGCCGCGGCCGCACACCGAGCTGAGCGCCCAGGTGTCGGCGAGCCCTGCCCACGGCCGGAGACTCGGGGACGCCACCCGGCTCACCTCAGCTCCCGGCAGGCCAGGGGAAGACCTCTGACCTCACTGCCACCCCCGGCCCCGGGTTTGAGAAGCAACTACCAAGACACCAGGTCGCAAAGCGTGCAGACCAATCAACCAAGCGCCAGATGTCTTGTCCTCTGGGCCCCAAGCAGCTGACAGTGTGGAGCCACCCGGGCCCGGCCCGCGCAGGCACCGGGAGGCAGCGCCGCGGGGACGCCCTTCTGTCGGAGCTGGCAGTGAATGCTGGTGCGGCGGTCCTTGGTCCCGGTGCAGGCAGGCCGTGTCCCGGCGAGCTCTACGGGCTGGGCCTCTGGAGCTCCACCACTGTCCGCGGGCCCCTCAGAGAGAAGCCATGAGACGGGGTGGCGCGACGCCAGGCACGGTCAGGACAGGACGGGGGCAGCGCTGCGGGAGGAACCTCTTTACACGGTGAGCACACGCAGGCACGGACTGCGACGACGCGGTGGTGCCAGGGCACCAGCGCGCAGTGAAGACGATCAGCGGGGGACAGAGCCGTCTAACACGAGAAGACAGCTCGCAAGGGGCAATGGGGGTGGGTGTGCAGACAGGTGCCACGCGTCACCCCAGGGGCAGGGAAAGCAAACTGGCAGGTCTGTGAACTACATTCCAGAACTCTACTTTTATGCCAGACTCTCCTTTCATTTAGGCATCAGAAGGCTTTCATCAAACTACTGAATGGAGAAGTAAAAATAGCAACAGAAGCACAGTTCTGGAAAGTGCCAGCAGCCTCCCTGCTGGAGCTCCGGGCAGGCCTCCAGCCTCAGCCCAGCCTGGCACGCGCGGCAAGGCCCATCTCATTCGTATGCAGCTGCGAGAATCCACAACAGAGATACCGAGGAAGAGCAAAATCAGGTTTTGTATGAACTTTTCAGCTGACAGGGCCCCAGGGCCTGGCCAGGGCCCCGAGCACCTGAGATGGAGTTACAGTCCATGAGGACAAGGTCGTTTCCACTTTACCAACGGCAGCACGGGGCGGGGTTCGCAGGGCAGGACACGGCGTCAGCGCTCACTGCACGTCACTGTCCCCCTCGCTGCGGTCACCCCGCATCTGCGTTCTACTCATAAAGCAGAAACTTTTTTATGGGGTCCGGCAGGGGCAGCGAGGGAATCAGATGCAGTCGGTGTTTGCCGAGAGCTCTTCTCACGGCCACGCGGCACAGGTTCAGCAAGGCCCTGGGGACACCTGGAGCGCCGTGGGAGAGGGAGGGGAAGAGAGGGAGGGAGGGAGGTTAATTCCGCTCCTAAGGCTACACACCGAAGGCTAACAGAGACTGCCAAGGGCGCCGACGCGACGCTCGCTGCCCTTCCCTCCACCCCACCCCCCGGGCCAGCCCCGCAGCGGAGCGCGCTAACCCTGGGGAAGAAGGTCCCGTCACCCGCCCCTCCCGGCTGCGGAAGGGGGCAGATCTTCACTCCCCGGGGCACCTGCTCAGCGGGACGCCCCCTTGAGTGTGTTTCATTTCCCAGGCTCCGCAAGGCCCTGGCAAGCGTGAACGACTGACCGGACGCTCTGGCTGGGCCTCCGAGAAACTCCAAGGGGCCCCAGCAGAGACAGGCCGCGCAGTGTGAGGAGACAACCGGGCCCTGCTCCGGAGAGCCTGGCCCCCTCGGGCCCGTGCAGCAGGCGGGACGCCAGCGGCCCCGCCCTGGGGTGGCTCAGGGTGACCGCTGACCAGCTCTCCCGGGACAACCCGACAGGCGCGGGTCCTAACGACAGGCTTCGGCAACTCCAACAACAAAACACAGCAAAGTCAAGTCCCACGAGAGGTAAGGGGAGCAGGTCTTCAACCCAGATGCCCTCAAGACCCAGGTGAGGATGAGGCCAGGCGTGAGCAGGGTGCAGAGCCCATGCGGCAGCCTGCAGTGGCACACGGGGCCCGTTTCTGTCTAGGAGAACGCCTCTGACAAGACCAAGCCCCAGGTCAACTGTGAACAACCTGGCTCTCGACTTACTAACTCATCAGCCAAATCTTTCTTCATAAATAAGCACGCTATGGACTTCATGCTCACAAAAATTAGAGGTACCACGGGGCGCCTGGGGGGCTCAGTCGGTTGAGCATCCAACTTCAGCTCAGGTCATGATCTCACAGTTCATGAGTTCGAGCCCCACATCGGGCTCTGTGCTGCCGGCTAGCTCAGGCTCAGAGCCTGGGGCTGCTTCTGATTCTGTGTCTCCCCCTCTCCCTGCCCCTCCCCCCATGATCATGCTCTGTCTCTCTCTGTCTCTCAATGATTAAATAAACATTAGAATTTTTTTTTTTAAAAAAATGAGAGGTATCACATAATAAAAGTAGCAGTATTTGAGTGGAACTGAAAAAGGGGGTGAGGACCCCTGGAGGAGCAAGGGCTGGCAGTCTAGTGTCAGGCACACATCTAAAACCACATGTACGTGAAGCACTGGCAGTCACAGGCCAAGGGGTGAAGAGAACATAATTTCTGGAACTCTGAGAACACGTACTTCTACAGATGTTTTTGTATCAACTCTCGGTGTCTAGGAATTTAAAAAGACCAATCTGGCAGTATTCTGGCAAATTCCTAGTCCTAACTGAAGATTCTGACTAAGTGCTTAGTTGGAAGGTTTTTTAATCCCTACCACTCGATTCATTCAACTGACCCACGCAGCCCGTGAGTCAGAAGGGAAGTCGGGCCACTTACTTCTGGCCTCTTTGAAGACCTGCAGTGCCTCGGGGTCCACCTTCCTCCTGCCTCTCGACTCCGGGCCCAAGGATTCCCATGTCACCAGGCTCAGGTTGGCTCCGAACTCCACGAGCAGGCTCACGAAGGCGGCCTCGCAGCCGTGGCGCAGGACGGCGTCCATGACGCAGCCCGGCGAGCCCCTGTAGAAGCCCTGCGTGTTGACGGGGCCGTTGCAGTTGAAGTCGGGGTTCGCCCCCGCCTGCAGAAGCAGCTTGAAGCACTGGAGGTTGTGGTAGGCTGCACTGATGTACAAGGGACAGACCACCAGGGAGGTGAGGCGGCGCGAGAAAGGGGGCCGGATGTCCGGGGTCAGGTGGTGGTTGACATCGACGTCAGCCCCATACCTGCAGGGGAGGCACAGGGACGATCAGACCCGAAGTCAGCAGCTTCCCACCGCGCTCTGGGGAGAGGGCCTGACCCCCGGGAGCACTGGGGGTGCACGGGGGACTCCCCGGGGAGAGGGCCTGACCCCCGGGAGCACTGGGGGGGGCCGCACGGGGGACCCCCCAGGGAGAGGGCCTGACCCCCGGGAGCACTGGGGGGCCGCACGGGGGACTCCCTGGGGAGAAGGCCTGACCCCCGGGAGCACTGGGGGCGCACGGGGGACTCCACAGTCACACTTGAAGGAAGGTAAGATAGCGGGTAAGCACTTGGAATCCACTCACGCAAAAAACTTCTAAGGGGAACTCTTTAAACCCTCTGAAGAGCCGACAATCCCACAGCTACTTAAACTACTTCAAAGCAAAGAAAAAAAAGGAAAATATCCAAAGTCACCTTATGAAATTAGCAAAATGATCCCAAAACCTGACAAAGGATCCACCACAAAGACAAACTACCAATGAATTTCAATTGTGAGCATCAATTTAACAACCTTCAATAAAATGTTAACAAGGAGAATCCGAAAGTATATTTAAAAAGCAAGGTACCATGACATCACGAGGACCATTCCATCAATGCAAGGGTCATTCCGATATTAGAAATTCCATTAACGTAGTCCGTCATATTCACAGAACTAAGGAAGAAATCACGATTATCTCTACAGATGAAAAAAAAAAACTTCAAGACATGTGACAAAACACTAATACAGGCTTGTAAATTCTCAATAAAATAAGTGATAGACGTTTCCTTCGCAAGATAAGACCCAGATGAGTCTCTCCTTTGGAGTCCATTCTCCTGCCCACTGTCAGGCATTTTACATAAAGGTATTAGTGCCACCAGACAAGGGAAAGCAATTAGCCGATTAACATTAGAAAGGAAAAGGAAAAACTGTCCCTATTTTCAGAGGATATGATTTTGTCTGGAATGCCCTGAATAATTAATGAAAATATGAAAAGCAATGAGAGAACTTATTAGGTACAATAACAAAGTTGTAAAACCAACAGCCTTCACATATACAAACAAAAACAAGTTCAAAAACAAAATGAAAAAGACCTTACTTACGACAGCAAAATTAAGACGAGATTATCTAAGCATAAAGCTAACGGTACAAGTCTAGAACCTGCATAAAGGAAGTTATAAAATACTACAGAGAGTACCTCACAAGCAGACCTCAGAAATGTAAAGACCCACCACTGCCTTGGATAGGAAGGTTCAACATTAAGGTCATTTCCCCCTCAGTTTATTATATAAAAGAAAATCCCACTTTTAGAAGTAAACTGATTATAAATATAAATAAATAATAGTAAGATCCCTGGAGTTTCAGAAGTTGATTATAAAATTCACCTGGAAGATCAAATAAGAAATGACATAAAGCAAAGCTTTTTAACATGAAAATTAAAGAAAAACTTTTACATGGCAAAAAGAAAAAGAAAAAAAACAGCATAAGCAAAGTAAAACAGTATGAAAGAAACTGGGGAAATGTTACATAGGATTAATATCCTTAATACATAAAGAGCTAATAAAAGGAAAAGATCGAATGGTTGATTGGAAAATGAGTGAGAGGCTTAGCCATTTAAAAGGATGATCAGCCTCACTCATAACACAAATGCAAATTAAAACTATGTTTTTATCTGAAATTAACATAACGTTGTATGTCAACTATACTTTCAATTAAGAAAAACTAGAAGCGCCTGGTAGCACAGTAGGTTAAGTGTCTGACTCTTGATCTTGGCTCAGGTCATGATCTCACAGTTTTGAGTCCAAGAGCCACATCGGGCTCTGTGCTCATGGTGTGGAGCCTACTTGAGATTCTGTCTCTCCTTCTCGTTGCCCCCCTCCCCCTCAGCTTATGCTCGCTCTTGCTCTCTAAGTAAATAAAATAAACTAAAAAACTTAAAAGAAAGAAAGAGAGAGAAAAACTATCCAGAGATACCACTTCTCACCTACCAAACTGGGATAAACCCGAAAAGTTACTGACCAGGTTCTAAAGAAACAAGAAGTCTCACTCAGTTCTGGCGGCAACGTAAAACGGGCCCATCCCAGCAGCGGAAAACTGGGCAACAGTCGGTGTAGTTACATATGAAGCTACCCTCTGACCCATCAACACACCCTTGGGAATCTATTCCCAAGAGACATCTGCATGCATGCATGTAGAAGAGGCATGCACACAATTCATGAAAACATCACCCGTAACGGCTGAAGGCAGGACGCCACCCACAGGCCCCTCACCAGGAGACGGGGGCCGCTGCGGGGAGGCGTGAGGAGTGTCGCTAACGACTGCTCTGGAATGACCTCCGGACTGTGCTTCACAAGCCAGGAGGCCAGACCGTCAAGTGCGTGGCATGCTGCTGTGTGTCAGGGGGAAGCGGCTGCAGTCCCGCCATGAATGGCCCGCACCTAGACATATAAGCAATAGGCTTACTTGTCTACAAGGAGGGATAAACCATAAAGGTTTTAAATGGTCATCTACGGGGCGGGGGAGTCGAAGGAGACCAGCATAGAAGTTAGACTTTTTAAATATACTTTTGTCTTACAGATTTGGCTTTGGAACCAGGCAAATCTATGTCGTGAAACAAATTAAATAAAAAGCAACTCCCAAAAATTAAAAGCAAAAAGAAACACTTTAACCCAAGGGTGTGTCCAGCCAGTGCCATTAAGTTCTGCCTGCAGGGTGGCTCCTCTCTGCAAAACCACCAGCTTAGCCAGACCGCTCCCAGCGTCAGATTCATCTAGAAAAACCCAAGCAGGGAGCTCAGCTTGCCAGCAGGACAGCCTGGTGCCGTGCTCCCCACCCCCCACCGGGCTGCTCACAGTAGTCCCTGAGCGGGCCGGGCCCCACAGCTGTCCGCAAGCTCGCCTCTGCTAAGGCCCGCTGACAGCGCAGACGTGAGGGACGGGTGCAGGAGCGGCCTGACCTAGAAGCCTCGATCTTCAGCAGAGCCCACCTCTAGACGATTCCACAAAGGCAGTGGCTTCACGGTCCCCACTAGGGGCCTGCCCTGGTCACTGCGCCCAGGGGAGTCTAAATACACGACTTACTACCAGGAATTTGTGGGGCTCTCCCAGCCCAAATGCGAAGTACCAACCAGGTCACCTGAAGCAGAGGCCACTGCCTAAAGCACAGAGGGTGGCCGGGCCCCGGTTATCAGTGTCCTGGCAAAGTTAAGAGGATGCCTGCTCAAAGTGCCATCCGGCACAGGGTGTCAGAGCCCATGTGGGGTGAGGAGGCACGTAGGGGAGGGGGCAGCAACATGACTTCGGTGACAGGTGGGGGGACTGGCCAAGTAAGTAAGTACATTAAGGACAGCTGGAACGAGGGCTCCGTCGGAAAAGCCAATGATAAACCAGGAGGGGAAGCGGGACCCCTGCGGCACTAGGCTGGACTAGAAGGGGCGGGGTGACCTCAGCCAGCACGGCCTAGAGACAGAGGCACAGAGAGAAGTAACCTGAGCTCTGTGCAGTCCATGGGCCTGAAAAGAGCCACAGCCCATAAGCAATAAACACTGCTGGTACCCAGCCCTTGGCGTCTAAACACCCTTCTCCACTACAGAGCAGCCAGGCCTCCTTGTAGAAGTGACTGGTTCCAGAGCTAAGACAGGCAGAGTACCAGACGGCCGTACAATATACTGTCACAGGACCAAGTAAGGACCGCTCAGAGAATGCTGGGGACAGGTCATAAGGGCAGAGCTGGGTTCCAGTTTGCCAGGACCCCTATAGCCAAATTTAAGACAATCAGGGGCACCTGGGGGGCTCAGTCGGTTAAGCGTCCGACTTCGGCTCAGGTCATGATCTCATGGTTCATGGGTTCGAGCCCCGCGTCGGGCTCTGTGCTGACAGCTCAGAGCCTGGAGCCTGTTTCAGATTCTGTGTCTCCCTCTCTCTCTGATCCTCCCCTCTCTCTCTCTCACACACACACACACACACACACACACACACTCTCTCTCTCTCTCAGAAATAAATAAAACATTTAAAAAAATAAAAAAAAAAAGACAATCTGAGCATCCAAATAATAAAATAAGACATTATAACTCACTGGGTAACCGAGGAAACCAGAAATCTAATGCAAATAAATGAATAAATTAAAAATTTGACGAGAAATAGGATAAATACATGTTTCTCGGTACGCCTCCACAAAATACTAATTAAATAAATACGAGGGGAAAAAGAATAGCTTTACAGCAGAAAAGCCTGACAGACACCACCTTAATCAAGCGAACAGCAGTAACGGGCCCAGCGCAATCGTGTGCAACCTGAGAGGGTGCGGGAGGGCCCCGCCTCGCCCCCGTGACTCTCCTGCCCAACACGACTCGCCGGCTCCCGGCTAAGCCAGCACCGGCTGGCACCTGCCTCCTGAGCTTCTGTCGCCCCACAGAGCCCCGCAACGGCACACGGGTTCCGTCAGCGCATTTCACTGCAAACAGGAAACCGAGGAAAGCAGCGAGGAGGGCCGATGGACAGGACTCTAGCGCACAGGGCACAGCATCCTTCCCGATGGCTGGCCCGCAATCACACGGTAGCGCCTGGGTCTCAAGCACTGTTCCGAGTATCCGAAGGAACTCAAAGTGCCACATCTGCTCTCAGGCAGCAGCAGAGACAGGAGGGGCACACGGACCGATGACAACCCGCCTCTCCGCGTACCGTCGTCAGGCACCACAGACGCAGGCATCACCGATCCTCTGGGACATCGAGCAGTGGCCAGGGAAACACCCGAAAACACATACCAAACCGCGCAGAAACTAGGATTTCATTTCACACACACTCAATCAATTAAGGAGAACTAGATTTTACACAGTGATTTTTGTTTCCTCCTGTTCGTAGGGACAGGTCTTCCAAATGTCTGTAATTCTGGGCAGCAGGACAATCTGGTATTAGCTGAGCTATGGGAAAGACAGCCCCTCGTAAAAACATCCTGGATACGATCCAGTTAATTTTAATCCTGAATATTTTCCAAAATTCCCCTCCTGCTTTTAATATTCTGGCAAGGATCTACCGGGACAACTCAGTGAGTCAATATAACTTTTGCACATACAGAAACACCACTCCTTACCTTTCAAAAAAAAAAAAAATCAGCCACATATCAAGGGAATTTGAAAGCAACAAAACGGAACTGACTTGCAGAGAAGCAGCAAATTATTACGGGACAGAAAAGCGCCCTGCGAGCATGGGACGACAGCACAGGAAGGCAGAGCTGACGCTGTGTTTAGACTGTATGTCACTTGACCGTACCGCTCCTATGTTCCTAGTCACTAAGTCAATTACCTGCTAATTCAGAAGAGAGAAAGCTCTTTCATACACGTTCTGGGTGCCTCACTGTAGAAGCAAGTCTGAGGCCCCCGTGAAGGAAGGCGACGTCGTACTAACAGTAACACCTTCTCCAACAGGGCACACGTGTGCACACTTGTGCAAGTCACGCCTGCAGCTAACCCGAAGCAGTTCTGTCTCATGACCTGACCGAGATGCCTGGAGGGGTTTCTGGAACCAAGATGCAATTTCCCTGATTGAACCTACTCACATATGTTTCCCAATTAACGACTTCCATTCTCCAAGATGCGGGACTGGGGCGGCTTAGATCATCAAGCTAAAAATCCTTTTAAAAGAAGGGGAGAAGCATCACAGCTTTATCACCTTCTAACACAACGACCGCGTTACCCTCGTTTGTCTTTCCAAAAGCCAATTCATTCCATGGTCACTTAAGAAAAAAAATTTTTTGGATGGAGTCAATCTGTCGTCAGTGCCTAATTCAAAACCCACACGGTGTGCTGGGCGAGGGGACGGCATGCCTGTTGCTCCTCAGAGCCACCCCACTGTGGCCTGGAACAAGGGGACCCTTCCGTGGCCTTCCCGCACTGAACACTGGCTGCCTGAGCTGCACTCTGTCCAACCGCGGGACAAAATGCCTCCAAAATTAGGCACGAAAAAAGCAACTTTGGCAGAAAGACGTCACTGGAAACAGAACATGAAAATATAATTTCGTTCAGATTTTTTAAAAAGGTAACCATTAGTACAAATAAAATAAGACCAAAAATAAATAAGAAAGAAAGAAAAACTATAAACCATGTAAAGTAACAGAAAGAGGGGCGCCTAGGCAGCTCAGTCGGTTAAGTGTCTGCCTTCGGCTCAGGTCATGATCTCGCAGCTTGTGAGTTCGAGCCCCGCGTCGGGCTCTATGCTGACAGCCTAGAGACTGGAACCTGCTTCGGATTCTGTGTCTCCCTCTCTCTCTGCCCCTCCCCTGTTCCCTTTCTCTCTCTCTCTCTCTCAAAAATAAAATTAAGTAAAATTTTTTTAAAAAAATAAAGAGAAAGCGAAGACAATATAGATCATGGAACAAAGACACTAACGAACAGCAACAAAACGAAGAGACAGACACAGACCTAACATCAACGATGGCAATAATGGTAACTATACTAAAAAAACGAAGAATCCCATATAGGCAAATACGAAAGGTGAGACACAAACAACTACTTAAACCCACAGAGGAAAACTAAATGTGGCAGAGGCTACGTTAACGAGCCCTCAGTGAAACCTAGTCACCTCTGGTTCTGATACGTGCATAACCCTAGGCAAGGGCTTCTAGGGGCTCAATCAGCACCAAAACATAGGAAGCAAAAAACACTAGAAATAAAAGGGGAGGCTGACAAATCACAACAGTGGTTAGAGACCAACACACTTCTCCGAACTTGTGGCAGATCCGATGGCTACAAACGTTAAAAAAAAAAAAAAAAAAAAAAAAAAGAGCGGCCATGAAGAACAGAACACAACTGAGGCAACCATACCTTACTATGCAAATAAACACCCACAGTCATGTACTTTGTTACAGCATCCACAACAATGTAGTTTGACATTTAAAAAATTAACAATAAACTCAAAAGAATCCCCAAAACCAAATCGTACTCTCTACGTTACCTGCGCACAATACAATAAAATTGGTTCGTAAAATCTGCATGAACCCTTCTCCTCCATAACCATAACAAAGAGGAGAGCAACTTCAAAAACACCAACTTCAAAATGAGGAAAAAGCTTAGCAAATATGACTGAAGCTACAGGCAAAGTTAAATTAATAATCTTGAAAGTTTACCCTTCAAGAAAAAAATGAATAATCATTCAACTGCAAAAGTTAAGGGAAAAATAAAGTAAAATTAAGGTAAATGGGAAAAAATTAGAATAGAAACTAGTTAGCAGGCACACAAATAAGAGAACTCATAGAGCTACGAAGGAGCTGTTTAGAAAGACCTACATCAGACAACTTTTTTAACAAGCCCAATTTGAGAGAGAGAGAGAGAGAGAGGTAAATACAGAGAACAAGGAGGAGAACACGGCCACAGGAACTACCGGCAGCGGGGCCACGCCACAGGGAGCCACGCAGGACAGTGGTGGCCAGGTGGCCGCAGTACCCACCTGATGAGGGCCTTCAGAATGTCGGCCCTGCCCACGCGCGACGCGTGGTAGACGGGGGTGCTGCGGTGGTGCCGGCTCCCGTTGGGATCGGCGCCGGCCTCGAGGAGGATCTGGGCGCTCTCCAGGTGCCCGTTCACCACAGCCACGTACAGGGCGGTCTGTCCCTTTACATCCACGAGGTCCACCTCGGCCCCTTTCCGGATAAGGAAGTCCACGCAGTTGCCGTGGCCTGCGGTGGCCGCGATCCTCAGCGGAGTGCACGGGAGCCAGCCACAGCACCACACGGACTTCTCGTTGATGCGGCTGCGGAAGACCACGGTGGGGGAGGGGAGGCTGTGAGGGGCAGTGTGGAGGGCGGACGGGCTGCCCTGCTTCCCCGCCTACTGGCACCCGTAGGAAGCAGGCAGCAGGAGGGCGGCCCCTTAGGACAGACACCCTGTGCCCCCCCCCCCCCCAGTGCCTCCCGTGCGCAATTTCAGGAAGTGGTGGACCCGTGCGTGCGGCACATGTGAAGAGCCCAGTCCACAGTGGAGGAAACTGAGGCACAGGCAGACTGACGGGCACTGGAGCTAAGGTCTCGGACTTCCTGACTCTCGGCCTAGAGCTCTTGGCCCTACAAAGGAGAGGAGGGTCTGCCCAGAGGGCAGTGCAGGGCGGAGAGCAGGACACGCAGCAGGAATCTGGGTCAGGGTCCCGAGGCCCCTTTTCACCATCTACCAGCCGTGAAGGCCTGAGGCTGGGCCTCAACATCCTCACTGGGACCAGGCGACCACTGTGGTCCCTCTACCCGTGACACAGCACAAGTGGCAGGCTGCAGGAATCACTGAGGGCTCCCCAGGGCCACCCTCCTGGCCAGCATCAGCAGAGGGAGACTGGCCAGACTCAGCTCTCATCCAAAGTGACAATCAGGCCGCACTTGGAAAGGCAATATGAAAATACTTGGTCTAAGACCTAGCTGAACTCCGTGTCGTTCTGCTGCTTTTACTCTGTTACACCTGCAAACTTAAGGTTTTCTCAGGTCCTGAGTCATTCATATTAAATATTCATGCGGAATCCATCTGATGGCTTTGTACGACAATCCTTCCTAGATATTTACAACTTTTTTCTTGAATACTGCTGTCTATTCTGATGAAATAATGCTAAGACATTAGAAGTAAAAAAGAAACCTCTTCTCATATTGTTAGAAATCCTTCTCTTGGGAGCTATTCATAAAATTTGGCATCAATTTCACTATTGATACGTGGGCTTTTCTTCTCCCAACTCTTCTCCCAACTCGTTTCTCTCAAATTCCCTGAGGGGGAAACACAAACACAAAGCACGAAGGAGTTTCTGGCTGCAGGTCAGTCTCAAATCTAGCCAGGCCTCCAGTCTTCCCCACACAAAATAGAGAACCCCGGAGGGAAGGAAGACTCTACGCCCTCCCCAGTGTCCCCAGGGGGAGAAAGTGACGTCAACACTCAGCTGCTATGAAGGCAGACAGAGCTTGAGCCGGTTTGGAGGATCTGACAGCAACAGACAGAGCTCTGTGGACTGAGGGAAGGAGAAGTGAGCACAGAGCAGATCCCGGAGGATGGATGGTGCCGGGCCCAGGCCCAGGAGACAGACAACTGGAGACCAGAGAAGCCCCCATCGGGAGTGATGTATAAATGCGGCACAGCAGAAGTCTACACCCACAAAGGGGTAACCAAATGAAAATAACAAAGGAAGGTGAACTTATGTATACAGCTTAGGGTAAAGAGCCACAAAGACTTGGGGGCACTTGGGTGGCTCAGCTGGTTAAGCATCTAACTCCTGATCTCCGCTCAGGTCGATCTCAGGGTCCTGAGTTCAAGCCCCGTACTGGGCTCCACACTGGGCGTAAAATTTATTTAAAAAAAAAAAAAGGAGCCACAAGAGACTTGGAGGGGGCAGGACCACCATTGACGAGAGTAACAGGGCTGCCATCAGGATTAACATCAAGAAACCGGACACCAGAGAGGGTTAGAGGTTTCCAGAAAACATAAAGGTCAATGACAGAGCTAGACGTGAACTCAGGTCTCCCGGCCCTCACTGTGTGGCTAGCTCCAACAGGTCTGACCGTGCTGCCTCTGTCTCCTTCCCCCTCCCCCGGCCTCTAACGCTGGGAAGCATCAGGGTGGTCACCTGCAGACCACGGGTCACACCGCCCTCGCGGATCGTGCACTTCGGCTTCGTGCAGACCGAGGGGGCCCAAGCACAGGGCCAGCCCCAGGACAGTGGCGCTCACCTCCGGTAGCTCTCGTCCTGCAACAGGCTCCTGAGCGTCTGGAGGTCCCCCACATAGGCTGCGTCATGGAGCCTGGTGTCCTCACAGTGCTCCAGCGGATGGTCACAGAACTGCTCCCTCAGCCATTCCTTCAGATTAGGACCTGCACTGAAGAGAGGGGCTGCTGTCAGCCAGGGGAGACCCTGCCCGTCCCGACCAGTAGGGGGCGCCGTCTGCAGTGAGCTCCTAGTCTTCTGACTACTGGGACTGCTCCAGCTCTCAAGAACAAATCATTTCTGTGCTCCAGAAAAAGAGAAAGTTTCCCTTAATAAAACAAGCACGTTCCCAACACCAAACCTGACCGACAAGGGTAATAATTTTAAAAAATGCTAGTGGGATGGGAGATAATGAGTCCACCATACTGAATACAGAAGATCCTACATAAAATATTAGCAAGGTCCAATTTAAAATATGTATCAAAAAAGCCACCATGGGGGCGCCGGGGTGGCTCAGTCAGTTAAGCATCCGACTTCGGCTCAGGTCATGATCTCACGGTTCGTGGGTTCGAGCCCCGGGTCGGGCTGTGTGCTAACAGCTAGCTCAGAGCCTGGAGCTGCTTCAGAATCTGTGACTCCCTCTCTCTTTGACCCTCCCCTGCTCACGCTGTCTCTCTCTCTGTCTCAAAAATAAATAAAACATTAAAAAAAATTTTTTTAAATCCACCATAGTATCACTCTATCTATCCCAAAAAGGTAGGAGGGTGTTAATATTGAGAAAAACCATATAATCACCTCCTGTACTACACAAAAACACTTGCACTTGGCAAAATTCAACAGCCAAACACATGCGGCTGTTTGCAACATGGATGACTATGCCAAGCTGCCCTGGGAAATGACCTGAGAGGAGACTACATGAGCACTTCACCAGACAGTAACCTAAGACTGGGGCACTTTACTAAATCTAAGTTGCACCTCAGTAAGAAGAAATTTAAAAATATATACATATAAATAGAAAGCCAGCCTCACATAATAAAGACTAGAAAACTGGAAAACAATAAAACTAGAAGTGGTAACCGCCATACCATGCACTCGGAAGAGTCGATGCTAGGAAAATCTTACATGGTACCACAGAAATTAAGAGGTTTCACAAATCTTTTTTTTTTTAATATTTACCTATTTATTTTGAGAGAGCATGCCAGCGGGACAGGAGCAGAGAGAGACTCCCAAGCAGGCTCACAAACCTGTGAGATCATGACCGGAGCCAAAATCAACAGTCAGAAGCTTAACCGGCTGAGCCACCCACAGGCCCCATCTTCCAGGTTCTTATATAAGACGTGACAAAAATATCATACAAGTTTATCTGGAAACACAAATGGAAATCACTTTTTTCCAGTACCTAGGAGAAGAAACCTACCCTGCTGGTTAGTTAACAGAACTGATTCTTTCTCATCAGAATAGAAAAATAAATCAAACAGAATCAGCTGCCCAGGAAAGACCTTAATATAAAGATAAATGGGTGTCAAAATCTGTGAGGAATAGGAGTAGTTGCTATGGACTGAATGCTAGTGTCTCCCCCCAAAATTATGTTGGAATCTTAACCCCCAGGTGATGGTATGAAGAGGTAGCGACTTTGTAGGTGACTGGCTCGTGAGAGCAGAACCTTCCTGAATGAGATTAATGCCGTTATTACGAGGCCCCAGAGAGCTCCGGCACAGCTCTACCACGTGCGGACAAAGCAGTGCTGCCTATGAACCAGGATGCAGGCTGCTGGGACCTTGGTCTTGGATTTCCCAACCCTCAGCTAAGAAAAGTAAGTTTCTACTGCTTGTAAGCCATCCAGTATATGGTATTCTGTTACAGCCTGAACAGACTATAAGTAGTCAACAAATCTGAAAAATCAGATACCAACTTGCAAATTACTGAGTTTTTTACCTGACACTAGAGCCCAGAAATAATCTTCAGCTAATTAAGAGTTCTGCGTACAACATTACAGACAGTCGTGTAAGGAAAGAGCATGAACTCTGCTCCCTGCGTTCAAGTTCCAGCATGCGACCAGGCACAGGTGGAAAGGACACCCCTCCACGGGTGAACTCTTTCCAATGGTGAAGTTGCTTTTTAATAATTCAAACCAGATCTCTGTTGAGTACCTACTGTATGCAAGGCTTGACCCCGGCACAGTGCAGGTGATGAGTGTTTCCTTGCCCTTCGGGATTCAAGGGATTGCTGTCAGGCGGGCAGGGCCTTTGAAGGGTTCACAAACACACGGGTCCCCCAAGCCAGCCCCACAGCCACGCCTGCAGTGGGCCGACAGGCAGGCCTCAGGGACCCGGTAAGTCTGCCCCAAACTTCCTTCAGCTGCTCTCCTCCGCGGCAGTTACCCGCAGTCTCACCCGCAGAGTGAAACAGTTCAAAGCAGGAGTGGCTAAGATTCAGAAAGCATTCTAAGACGGACAGGTTAGGTGGGTGCGCGGACTTTCGCTGGGTTCACTCTGGGCATTCCTTCACTGGCCCCTTTTCAACCCACTATCTGGCCCAGCTCAGGCCCCCTCATCTTCCCCAGCCCCAGATCCCAGGAGAACTTCAAGTTTGCGTTTTTCTGATCAGCTTCTCCGCTTAGACCTTCCCTGGAAATCTCTGCGGCCCCTCCACTCCCAGGCCTGCAACACTAAATAACAAAACAGTCCGGACAGTTACAGAAGAGCCCTGGGTATGTGGGGCAGAGCAACCTTTCTTCCACACGGCTCCCCTCCCCCCTGGGGAGGGGCCCTCAGGCCTCCTCTGAGCCCATTCCTCTCCCTCACGTTGAAATGACAAGCCAGGCACCAAAGTCCTGATCCCTGGGGTCAAAGTCAGTATCAACCAAATCCCAGGATGGAAAGGGCTTTGTCTGACCTGCCCTTGTTCACGGGGCTTTTCCCCAGCCCAGGCAAGGTCTGGCCAACGCAGTTCCTCAATAAATATCTGATGAAAGAACGGAGGTATGAAAAGCGCTACTTGAGTCAGTCTCCAAGCGTAATAAACTCTCTGGAGATGAAGCGTAAAGCGCAGAGCACATCACAGCATCCGGGAGGCCGGGCAAACCTCTCCTCCCTGAACACAGCAGACGACACACCTGCGCTGCACCTGTGCTTGCTAGCAGGGCCTCAAGGTGGGAACCCTACGTCTCACGGCCACTGTGGGTGGTCACCGAGAGCCTTCCTAGCTGCCTCCTCTGCCGGTTGGGCCCCTGGGCGTGCTGTGTCACGGAGAGCTCGCTGGGGACGGTGTGATCGCTGTCCCTTGCCTGGGCGTGCGATGCACCTCCCCGGGCAAGCCGTGGGTGGCGGGGCGGAGGAGACGTCAGCCCTCCCGCGGGGCTGGCCTCGGGGGTCTTCGCTGCCCCGCGCGCTCGGAGCTGGAAGATGATCCCTGTCCTTACCGTTGGGGTCCTATCAAACCGCCACCGACTCCCGAGCCGGCAGTTAGGAAAGGAGGTTCCACAGGACAGGAACCCCGGCGCGAGCACGTCCACGCGAGGCCGAGGAACGGGCACACGCAGCGGCCTGGCCGCCCCGCAAGCGAGCCGCGCTGACCCGCCCCCCGGCAGCAGGGCGCGGCTGCGGGGGCCTGGCCGGCGGCGGACGAGGAAGCACGGCCCCGACCCGGGCGCCGCTGCCGCCGCCGCGTCCCCCCGCGGGGGCACCAGACCCCGCCCCCCGCTGCCCCACCGCCCCCGCGGCCCGGCGGCTGCGCGCACGTTACCTGCGGGCCCCGGCCCGGCCCGCCCGTGGGGGCCGCCGCCCTCCGCCATGGGCGCTGCCGACTTCCCCGGGTCCGCAGCCCCGGCCCGAGGACGCCCCGCCGAGCGGAAGCAGAGCGGCCGCGGCCACTTCCGGCGCCGCGGGCAGTTGGGCCGCGTCGGGGGCGCGGCTTCCGGCGAGCGCGCACCTCCCTCACGGGCTTCCGGGGCCCAGCGCGGGGCGCCAGCGCCTCCACCTCCGGCCTCCCGTCCCGACGCGAGGCCCACCCAACGAGCGCCAGCACCGGGGCGCCAGCTGTCCCGGGCCGCGCGCCGTCGGGGGTGCGCGCCGTCGGGCCCGGCAGCGCGGCGGTCCCTACACAAGAGTGGAGGAGTCTGGGAAAACAAGCTCACATGGGGGGCGGAGCCCGACGCACTCTCACGAGCTCTGGTTGGCCGGGCTCGCCCCCGCCCCCGGGGAGGGGCGTGGCCTCCCGCACCACGGCGGGACGGCGCGTTCCCGGGAGGGCGGGTTCAGGGGCGTGTGCGCGCGGCAGTGTCCGGCCCCGGAGCAGCCCCGGGCGGGGCGAGCGGGGATGCGAAGAGGCCCGGCTCCCGCCTCCGTTCCCCGCAGCAGGTTCTGTTGGCCGCGCGCCGCTGCGGGTGAATGCGCCCCCAGAATTCTTTCTATGACGGCAGGGATCTCTCTGTTAAATTATAGCATTTATTGAATGCCTGACACAAAGCATTTATTGAATAAATTAGTGAACCAAGGAATAACTTCTGCGCTCCCGCTTCTTGAAACGTTGCCAGTACACTCTCAACGTGTATACTGAGCGTGGGCTCTTGAGCCCGGATTCCCTGGGGCGCAGGCCCGGCAGGCCCCGCGGGGGGGTGTGGTGGGGGAAGGGGCCTTCCTCACATGCTGTTTGGGCTCGATAACAGCAGATAGCACCCCTGGCACAGGGTCGGGGGTGACGCCCTTGGTGCTGCACCTCTGGGAGCCAGGGGTGTGCCCAGCCCACTGGCTCTCCACCTCAGCGGCCCATGGGGAGCACGGGGGCGCTTCAGAAACACGAGTCACGGAAACAACCCAAGGGTCCATCAGCGCTGGAATGGAGTGCGGTGTGATCGTACAACGCAATGACATGCATATTAGGAAGGACATTCTGACCCCAGCTACGACACGGGTGAACCTTGAGGACTTCATGCCAAGGGAAGTAAGCCAGTCACAAAAGCACAAGTGCTGTATGACTCCCCTTGTATGAGGTACCTGGGGGAGTCAAACTCTTAGAGATGGAAAATAGCAAAGTGGAGCCAAGGGCTTGGGTAGGGGCGAATGGGGACTTGTTTAAAGAGAACAGTTTGACTCTGGGAAGACGATAAAGTTCTGGAGATCGATCAGTGCACAACAGTGTGAACGCACCTGATACTGCTGAACTGTACGCTTTAAAAGGTTAAATACCTGGGTGGCTCAGTTGGTTAAGCATCTGACTCTTGATATCGGCTCAGGTAATGATGTCACGGTTCATGAGTTCAAGACCCAAATAGGGCTCCGTGCTGACCATGCAGAGACTGCTTGGGATTCTCTCTCCCCCTAGCTCTCTGCCCCTCCTCCGCTCACATGTATGTGCTTCCTCTCTCCCTTGCAAAATAAATAAACTTGGGGGGAAAAAAGTTTAAAATAGTAAAGCTTATTATGTGTATGCTACCACAATTTAAAAAAAAAAAAAAAGGAAGGCTGCCCTCCCCCCCCCACCCCCCCACCCCAGAGGTCCTGATGCAGGTGGTCTAGAGCGTGGCCTGGGCCTTCACGATTGTTGAGGCTCAGGCGGTTCTAATGTGCAGCCAGGCCTGCGAGCCCCGTCCCAGCGGCTTCAGCTGCGCGGCCTTCCCGGTCCCCACACATCAGTGCCTTTGTATCTAGGCCTTCAGTGGCCGGAGCAGAGCACCCTTCTGTGCTTAGGCCTGGCTCTGATGTTGCCCTCGGGGTCCTGTCTCTTCCTGAGATCAAGATCGGAGGCCCCGCTCCATTGGTGGCCTCCTACCCCTCCTCCCAAACGCTCCCCGGGCAAGAATTGTGCTGTCAGTACCAGCAGGCGCTGGAAGCGACATTAACCCTTGTCCTGTTTTTCAGGAGCCTGAGGTTAAGGGACTTGGCACCGTGCCCAGAGCACACAGTGGCTGAGAGAGGACTGGGCCTCTCCAGGGCCACTCTCCTCACGCCTCACCTCTCTCCATGGCCCCACTGCCTCCAGGTCTTTTAAGCCCCAAACACCCAACGGAAAGCTGCAGAATGCAGCCTGCACGGCCTACAACAGACAGGGTTCGCCAGTGCCATCTCAGGCGTGGGCACGGGGGACATGCCAGCCCACGGACATGGGGCTGGTGCCACCCCAGGCACAGTGGGGCTACCTCGGCCCCCCTCAGTCCCAGCAGCACCCTCAACTTCTCCCACACCCATCACTCCCCCCCCACCCTAAAATCACCCACGGCCTCCTGTTGTCATCCGACAGCTCAGGCCGCCTCCACGGCAGCCCACCATCTGCGTCCCCAGAACAAAATACCCAGTGTCCCCAGGACGAGCCCTCCTTGAGGTCTAGTCTCCCTGGAGGACAGCTTGGCATAAAAGCTTCACAATCCTTGATCAGAAATCCCTCTTCTAGGCATTTATTCTAAGGAAGTAATCAGATGTGTGAGAGATTTAGCTATGGTGCTTCTCTGGAGGCATCATTTTTATGCAAAAATGTCCAACCATAGCTTTCTGGCTCAGGAGATCTGGGCTGGGGCCCCTCGCCCCTGCTCCGGTCCCTCCCCCTCCTCCCGAAAGACTGCTGGTGCTCTGGTGGCTAGAAGCCTGCGCCCCACAGCCCAGCTCCAGCACAGGGCAGATCACCGCACGACGGGGTGGGAGAGGGCAGCTTCCTGGCCTTAGGGCCCTTTGGGGCTGCGTTTGGGGCGTCTCCTCCCAGGAGCCTCAGGCCAGGGCCCCATCCTCCCGCACCCCATCCCAGGTTGGGGACCCACCCTCCTTCTCTGTCCAGGCCGGGACAGAAGCAAGGGTCAAAGCAAGTCAGAGGCAGTGTCCAAGCAGACCTGCAGCCGGCCCGGGACCGGGAAGGGCCAGTGGACAGGGGTGGGGAGCCGCCAGCATGGCCCACGTGCCTCTTCCCACACTCACACCCCCCCTGCCCCGGGCGCGGCCCCCTGGGCGCCCGTGCTGAGGTGTGTGTACCCCACTCTCTCCTGTCACCACCTGCCTGTCCACCTGCTATGCTCCCATCACAGGGAGGGGGAGGGAGAGTCCGAGGCAGGAAAGGCCTGGGCCTGAGTCCGCGGGGGGCAGTGACTCAGGGCAGAGCCCAGACTCTTTAGGGAATGACTCACCCACTCCTAGGAGACCAACCCTCCCGCCTCGCCCCGGACTGAGAGGGGTCCCGGACACAGGACGCCCAGTTTTAAAACCAGAGTGAGTTGGGACCCTACCCCACCCCTGAACTGCCTCCCTCCCTCACCACCAGGTCAATTTTCCTGCAGAGAAACTAGCTGAGATCCCGTCTCTGTCACGTGGGCTGACAGTTCCTGTGAGATCCTGGGCACTCCCCCGTGTTCCCTTGTGGGGACACGGGGGGCCCTTCGCTCCAGCCTCCTCCCTCCGGCAGCCCCCAGGGCTCATCCAGAACCCGGGGTCTGCAGGGCATGACCCTGCCGACCCCACACAAAACAGCCCAGGGCCTCCCCGTCCCTGCCCCCCACCCCGGAGCCTCTGGGGGGGCCTGGGCTCTCCGCCAGCCCCCACCCGCACATCCGCCTCCTTTATCTCTTCCCACCTGCACTCAGGGCCCTGCGGAGCAGTGCCATCTCTGCTGCCTGACGCAGAGGCTCCTCGAAAGCTGCCTCTGGTCGGACAAATATTTTGATTCTCTCCCAGGAACCGCCCAGCACTTGTTATTGAACACATGGATGAAGTCATTCGCCAACCAGAGCTAATGAGTCCTCATCAGCTGTGCCTGGTCCCGCACGCGGGGGGCGACCGACCCGGACCCAGCCCACAGAACCCGTGGTCCAATGTGGCGGGGTGCACAGTGCCCCCCCCCCCCCCCCCCCCCCCCCGAAGCAGAAATCCACCTCTCAACCTCTGCACCCTGACGGCGTGACTTTGTTTGGAAAAGGGATTTTGCAGATGTAATCAATGGACTGGGCTATGCCCTAAATCCGATGACAAGTGTCTTGATAGGAGAAGGGCGGGGGGAGACTTGGGACTCAGACGCGCAGGGAGAAGCCACAGGCGAAGGAGACAGGGATTGCAGGATGTGGCCTCAAGCTTCGGAAGCCAGGGGCCATCGGGAGCTGGAAGAGACCGGAAGGGCCTGCCCCAGGACCCTAGGAGGAACGTGGCTCTGCAGACACCTCGCCTGCAGACCACTGGCCTCCAAACTGTGAGAATACATTTCTGTGTTTTTAAGGCACCGAGAGCGTGGTGACCCGTGGGGGCGGCTGCAAGCAATGAATAGACCCAGTAAATGGAGCCACCAATCCCTGGCTGAGCGCTGCGCGAGGGCCGTGAAGGACAGAGCAGGGCTGGGGGCGGGAGGCTTCCACGGGAGGCAGGGAAGGCTGGGAAGTTAACCACAAAGAGTGAGGGGACATCGGAGCCCAGAGAACGGGCGGGCCAAGGCCAAGGAGGGCCCGGCTGACGTCGAGCCTGCCCTGGCGTCCGAGGGAAGCCTTCAAGCTACAGGGATCGGGTCAGATTTGGAAAGGGGCAGAGGGAAGAGGAGGAAATGCGTGCAGGTCTCCAGGGGACCCGAGGGGACCCCACGCCACCCACGCCAGCCCAGCTGGATCCCAGAGGACAGAAATCCCCTGCCTCCCGTGGGCTGGGCAGCGTGGGTCACGGGAAGAAGGCTGCCTCGTTTCTGCAAGAGGCTCGGGAGACAAACACACAGACCCCTCCCACTGAAGCTGGTTTCAGTCAAAAGAAGTCTCTGGTTCGACTTGGGGACACAAGGTGGCCTTAGAAAGGCTGGCTGCACTGGACCTGGCAGCTTCTCCGACTCGTGCTGTGTTTCTCTCTTTGAGCCTCTGCTCATGGATGAGTCTCTATATTTATGTCTGCCTGTCTCTTTCCCTGCGTGCCCCTCTCTCTCTCCCTCTCTCTCTCCTCACCTATTACCAGGTAAACAAGAACATAGCGGCTTCTGAGGACAGTGATCCTGGGTCATCTCCCGGTGTGTCCGTGGGCCAGGCACTTGGGGCACAGCAGGAAAGGCTGGTGTCTGCTTCATGACGCCTGAGGCCTCAGCCGGGAGTTCAAAGGCTGGGGCTGGCGGCATCCAAAGGGACGCTGGCTCACGGCTGGTGCCGTCAGTCAGAACACTAAGCATGGCCTCCCCGTGGCCTTGGGTCCCTCACAACCTGGCACCTGGGTTCCCAGGGGATTGTCCAGGGAGGGGAGAAAGTAGACCTTGCCCACCTCCCTATAGGGAATGTCAATGTCATCTCCAAAGAAAGCACAGCAGTGAGGGGGGGGGACATAGATTGCTGCAGCTATTTTAGATAATTCAGGTGCTCCCTCTGCCTTTCCGTTGATCTCTCCCCGTCACTCTGTCCCTCCATCTCTGCCTCTCACCATTTCCCTGACCCTTGGTCTTGCTCTGCCCCGATGTCTCACTGTCCCTGACTCTCTCCCTCTAGCAGCCTGGGTCTTACTCTCCCTCTCTCAGCTCGCCAGTCTCTCTCCTCTACCCCTCTCTGCACACGGATTTCCTTGGCCCTCTCCGAACTCCAGCCCCGGCCATTGGTCCCAGAGTCGGTAACTCCAGCCTGACCCTCGCGACCATCAGCTCAGGCGTCCACCTCCACCACGGGTCTCTCAGTTCACGTTCTGCAGACAGAGCCCAGGACAGCCAGTCGGCCGGGGTCAGGCTCCTTTGGCCCTGGAGCCCCAGCTCCAAGCCTGTATTGACCAGCAGACCACGTATATTGATCCAAGACTACTTGGATGGTTAAGAGCTTCTTCTCCATGGTCTTTGGGGAAGGCGGTTCCCCCTCATTCACACAGCCCGTGGGTGATGCGTCAGGACACCCCATTGCTAATGAGGGTCTCAGCTCACACCAGGAGGGATGGAAGTATCTATCAGCCTGTTGTGGCCGACGCTGTTAACGCCCGCAGGCTCTCGCACCTGTCTGCAAAGAGGCAAGAGAGAAAGAAATGCCTGGAATTTACATCCCTTGCCTGAGGCAGGATTTGCACTCTGAGCCTCACATGGTTTGGTTCCTGATGATGCCTGAAGTCACAGTCCACCTGTGCCCCCCTTTCCCTGTCCCCTATCATAGCCGCCCTTCTCCCCTGGGAGCCTGTGCTTAAACTCCTGCGCACACCTTAGGGAAGCCCAGTGTGTCAGCCAGGGCTCTCCAAAGGCGCAGAACCGATAGGATGTGCATGTGTGTGCATGTCTGTATATGTGTGTGCGTGCATTTATTTTTTTTTTTAAATGTTTTATTTATTTCTAGCCGAGAAAGAGAGAGAGACACAGCGTGAGCAGGGGAGGGTCAGAGAGAGAGGGAGACACAGACTCTGAAACAGGCTCCAGGCTCTGAGCTGGCAGGCAGCACAGAGCCCGATGCGGGGCTCGAACCCACGAACCGCGAGATCATGACCCAAGCGAAAGTCGGACGCTCAACCGACTAAGCCACCCGGGCGCCCCATGTGTGTGCGTGCATTTATATGTGTATGTTATTATACGCAGACACAAACACATACACGAAGAGGTTTATTTTAAGGAACTGGCGCATGTGATTGTGAAGGCTCGCAAGTCTGAAATCCAGGCTGGCATCCTGGAAACCCAGACAGGGTTTGTATGCTGCAGTCTTGAGGCAGAACTGCTTTTTCTCACAGATACCTAGTTTTGCCATTAAGGCCGTCAACTGATTATATGAGGCCCACCCAGATTCTTAAGGGTAATCCTAATTCAAAGTCAACTGATTGTGGATGTTAATTCCATTTGCAAAATACCTTCACGGCAGCATGTAGCCTGGTGTCTGATCGAACCACTGGGCCCCGTGATCTAGCCAAGCTGGCATAAAACCAAACCATCACACCCACCAGGACATCTAAAGAACAGGGATGTCCAAGAAGGGCTGCTCTTCAGGCACAGCTGGAGCCTGGAACTCAAAGTCTGGCCCCAGGTCTCATCCATCTTTAGAGTTGTTTTACTCTGTGTGCAGCCCCCTCGGTGACAGGGGCGTGGCATCACCACCTCGTCCAGCTGACACAGCGCCACCCTCATGCTCTCCCCCGCAGCCACGGCCACACTGCGCCCAGCGCCGAGGGCGCGTTTCGTCTGCTCCCGAAGCCCTGTGGTCACACAAGGATGCCCCGGGTTACTGTTAATAAAGAGCATTGTTCCTCTATGTGAACAAAGCCAGCCTTTATTTCTTTATTTGGTGGCCCATTTGGTGAAGCACTTAGGAAGCGCCCAGGCCAACATACACATATAGTGGTTTTAATTACATCCTGTGAATTTATTTTTCCAGAGAGAAATATTTCTTGGGGAAATGTCCATAAAAGCGACGTTAGCAGCCGTGTGGTTGTGTGTGTGTGTGTTTCCTATAGGAAGTCTGGTTAGTTTAAGTACCAGCTTTCGCACCACTTTTTACGGAGGCAGGGGGCTGGTGAAGGCGGCCCGCAGCCCCGTAGATGGGGCCGCTGCCGGGGGCCCCAGGCTGAGCTGGGCCAGTGGCCCCTGCTGCGGAGGGAAGGCAGGTTGGCTGAGGGCAGACGGTTTCCGTATACTTGCCATCCAGGCAAGTGCCACGGGTGCTTACACGCCTTTGTGCACACAACGCTGCTGGCTGCTTCCTGCGTTCCTTCAGGAAAATTGTCAGCGATCGGTTTTACAAAGAAACATAGTCAGATCCCAGCACTGACAGCTCAGAGCCTGGAACCTGCTTTGGATTCTGTGTCTCCTTCTCTTTCTCTCTGCCCCTCCCCTGCTCATGGCTGTCTCTCTCTCAAAAATAAACATTAAAATGTTTTTAAATAAATAAAATGAAAACAATTTTTATAAAAAAATTAAAACACAAGGTACTACATCATATGAGTCAGGGTTATCCTAGTATTGATGGATGCAAGTTAAAGACACGGCTTCATCCTAGACTTTGTAAACTCGAAGGCGTTTAGAGTAGCTAAGGTAACTATTAAAATAACGACCATAGTTTGAAAGCCCACATAATAAGACAGTATAATACGTCCAAATGGAATAAATTCTCCAGGAGGAAAAGAAAGATTGCCTGGCAGAATGTTTCAAGAGACACAATTAAAATGTGAAAACTCAAGAGATTTAAAGGCAAAGGATGAAAATATACACCAAGAGGAAATCAATTAGTTATCATAGTGGGCGGAGACTTTTCGGGTCCTCTCTAAGTGATGAAGCAAGGAGGGAACACCTTCCAGGAAGTAAGCTTGGGCGAGACCGTCAGCAGGCTTGACAGAATGGACATACGTGGATGCAACACTGTGCCCAGGATTCTTTTAGAAATTATGTAGAACACGAAAGTGAGGAGTGCCGGCAGGGATGTGGGGGGACGGGACCCCCGGGCGCTGCTGGTGGGGACACACAACGGTGCGGCTGCTGTGCGAAACAGAACAGGGATCCCTCAAACAATCAGAGAATTCTATGCGACCCAGCGATGCCAATTCCGCGCATCCATCCGAACAAACAGAAAACAAGGACCCAACAGGGATCTGGATGCCCACGTTCCCAGCAGTGTTATTCATGTCAGCCACGTGGTGAGAGCAACCTACGTGTCCATCGACGGATGAACGGATACACAAACTGAGATGTTTGTCCGCCTTGACGTGAGATGCTGGCAGCTGCCATCACCGGGATGAAGCAAAGACATGTGCTCCGTGAAACCAGCCAGTCACAGAAGGGCAAGTCCTGTGTGCCTGATCTTACGTGAGTCCCTCGAGCGGTCACGCCCACAGGGGGAAGCAGAAGGGTGGGCGCCAGGGGCTGGGGGGTCAGTGTTTCAAGGGGACAGAGTTTCAGTTTGGGGAAGATGAGAAAGTTCTGGAGACGGATGGTGGTGATGGCTGCTCATATAGCTGCACTACACACTTAAAAATGATGAAAGTGTTAAATTTTACGTTATGTGTGTTTTCCCACAATGAAAAAAAAGGGGGTAATGGGACACTTTGTTAGTTGAGCATCAGACTCAAGTCTGGCTCAGGTCATGATCTCACGGCGGTGGGATCGAGCCCTGCGTCAGGCTCCTTGCTGAGTGTGGAGCCTGCTTGAGATTCTCTCTCTCTCTCTCTCTCTCTCTCTGCTCCTCCCCCACTCAGGCACGTGTGCTCTCTCTCTCTCTAAAATTAAAAAAAAAAAAAATTTAAGGGGCTAGCGACATGTCAAATGTTTGCTAAACTCAATAAAGTGATACACCGTGAAACTTATTTGGAACTTTTGTGAAATTGACTATGTTCGGGTTCGGGGCTGTCTCCACAGGGCTGGAAAGATGGGTTTAGGCAAGTCAGGCACTCTCCCCCTAACGCAATCAAACCAGAAGTCAGAACAGAGAGAAGGGGGTGGTGGGAAGGGCAGGTGGGGAGGGGGGTGTATTTGTCAATGGGCCAAAGAACAAATTATTATGGAATGAGAAAACATCTGCAACTGAACCCAAAAAAGGTACCCATTCAATGAACTAGTATGTGCTGGGTTCCAAGCGAGCAAGGAGCCAGCAGAAAGCTCAAAAACAGAGGTCCCTGAGACAGAAGCGCAGTAGCTGCGGGGGCAAAGCCCCGGGACCGCCGCCCACCCGCCTTTTGATCCACTCAGGGCTGGCGCCCCCCACACAGGAGGCTCCGTGACCGCGAGGGACGCCACCCTCCCCTGCCTTCGCGGGGGCAGGGCCCCGGGTGGGGGCAGCCTGAGGACGAGGCAAGTCCCGCTCCACCGGGAGCCCCCCGCCCCGTGCCCCGGCTCCTCTCCGGCTCCGGAGCCCCCAGCCACGTCCCAGGCCCCCAGCAACGCCTCAGGAGCCTGGAGCCGCTAAGCCGACGGGGGGGCCACATCCGGCGCCCCCGGATGTGCCCGTTCAAGAAAACAGCCCGAAGGGGCTGGGCGGGGTGCGGGACAGCCGCGGTCCCTCGTAGAGCAGTCAGCACCCCCGCGCTCTTGCAGCGGCGGCCCCCCAGATCCGGCGAGTCCCCCCTTGACGGGGCCTGGGGACTCAGACCCGCACTGGGAGGAGCCGGCCTGGGAGGAGAGCAACGCCCCAGTCCCTAGGGGCGTCTGCAGGGGGAGGAGCCGGCGGGGGGG